ATGGCGGAGCTAGCCTTGTTGACGACTGTACCTCTCGGTCGCACAGATCACCTTTCTGTTTTCCGTCTTTATCTTACTAATAAGCCGCACACACACACACACACGCACACACACACAAACACACTGTGTGTACACGTGTGTAAGTGTGTATGTGTGTATGATGTCAATGCGATCAATAAACAGTTTCTCCGATTTTGCGTTTCAATGATTTCAGATTACTATCTAAGTATGCAAATTCGTTAATGATTTTGAAACATTACCAGTGCATTAGTAAAGAAAATAGTTTCTACAATTATATAGACCACTTAGATGTTAATTACATTTAGAATTACATTACTTATTGAAAATATACGATTGTAATACAAATTATAATTTAATAAATGTTTTAGTGTAACAAAATTCGGCCTCTTATTCGTTTAAAGCGTACCACGCCATTACAGAACAAGGAAGAGAATCTTTAAGGTTGGAATTAAAAAAAATATGTATATAAAACTCTTTGTTTTATAACACAGATAATAGATAATTGTGGAGTTGGATTTTATCACTTACAATATTCGAGGATGTTATTGTTCTATTGTCTGTGGTGTTTACACGTAGTAAAAAATATACATACATATAAATAAAAATCCTCGTAGAACTTAATTGACTTATTAAAAATGTTAATTTAATGGTATGATAAATTGCTTTTTTATATACGGACTAAACGAAACGATGCAGTGTTCGTGAACCGAGGCGATGACTCGCGTCTTGAAATAAATAACTTAGCGATGAAAGAATTTAACTTTTAAACAGAAATAAATATATATTTAATATTTAATATATAATAATAATAATTGCGAATATAATATAGAAGTTTATTTTTCACAAAGGAATCCCCGAACACATTAACGTTGCATCATTCTGTATGGCTATGAATAATTAATAATGTATTAAAATAATACAATCTAATTTCGACTTTATTTTTATTAACATAGATTATTTTTTCCATCGATAACTTCAGTTAAGGATTATTCCTTACAAACCCGTACTTAAATATGAGATAATAAAAGCCTATAATAGATTTGTGTGTACATTTGTGGTCGACGGTAAGACATCTGCTTACAAAATTAAATACTCCTTACTATATACATTTTACTTCATATATAGTATTAAAATTTATATATATTATATTAATATGCTTCTTAAATATAAATCTATAGAAATCTGGAAATGTTATATGGAATAACCAAACTGCTTATATATTTGTGTATGTATGTAATATAATCCTAATATATGTATATCAAAACTCAAAACCAATTTTTATTAAGATGAAAACAAAAGATTTTAACATAAGATCCACGCTATTCTTGTGTCTTGAAGAAATTTTATCCCCCGTCGAGATTTCTGTCGGACGCTGCCGCTTCGTTGGCTACAATACGTTTGTATGTGTACGTGTGTGTGTGTGTGTGTGTGTGTGCGTGTGTGTGTGTATCTACAACCTTCTTGTGATGGGAAGTGAACCCTTTACGCGGGGGAAACGGTTTTTTATTTGCACTCGGACAGCGGCATCAGGTAGAAAGGATGATCGTTAATTTTTAAAGGACACACTGAACTTTATGTTTACTCATACGGTCACTAGTCGAACGAGACATTGTAAATAACTAAAGATTTTATATATTTTTTTATATATCGCGTTGTTTATTATGGTTTACGGCGGGCTTTTGTCTGCTATCAGTGAAAATAAAGTGTCTGGAACCGCAAGGAGTCGAGAGCTCGTTGATGTCTTTTGTTAATAACTTTTAACGCCCGCTGCTTTCACAAGTTTACTGACCCCTTCCCGATCGCGAATATGGTGCTTCGAAATTAATTATTACTATAACTTACAATTAAAAAAACAGCGTCCAATGAAAAGTGACTCTAAAGATACCAATCAGAGGAGTAAAATTTGTATGGATAAAATATCTGTAACTGTTTTGATTTTAAAAAAAAGCGGTTTACCGACGAAATAATTACATTAAATAACGATCCGGGCGAGAACCCGAGCCCGAGCATCTCAAGGGACGCCGCGTCGAGTGGAGGCAATAAAATAAGACGACAGCGGGGTGGGGGCTGGCTCGGACACGAGTCATAAGCGATAGCGATTACACACAACAAACTACAACATCCAATACATTCTTAGTATGGTATATTCAAAAACGCTATCCTCTTATGTGTTGTTCGTTAGTTTTGGTTCAACAAAAAGTGATCATAAGGCCTCGGCCTCGAATCTCGCGGGTAGCGGGGCGGCAGCGGCGGCGGCACGGAAACGCATACTATTCTCCAAACTAGCGGGCAACGGGCACGGAGAAATGTATGCGTTTTCGTGCCGCCGCCGCTGCCGCCCCGCTACCCGCGAGATTCGAGGCCGAGGCCTTAGAGTGTGTGAGGCGCGGCGGGTGAGACGCTCGCAGCCTCCCGACATATACACTCAGCTTTTTATCACTCCACTACCAATACATATTTAGACTATTATATAGATATATATATTTTTCATTTAACCTTATAATGATGCTGTATAACAAAGATTTAAATTCTAATTCGTCTTTTTTAACTAGTATATTTCAATTAATTTATCTTAAAGAATTACTCACTCACACACACACACACACACACACACGAAAAAATCGAATATTATCCATACAATATTTCATTCCATTAATTTATGATCAGAAAATAAAATGTAAGAGTTTCAAAATCTTTAATAAGTCAGCGGTAGACGTCTGTTAACATCTACGTTATAATTAATAAGAAACGTAAATGTTTGACACGACCACGTAAATGGTCATCTCACTGAGACCGAACATGAGAATTATATTTACAAAGGAATCGCGTTTTTTAATAACTTTAATAATATGTACATTATACTGTTTGTATGTATATACATATAAAGATTTTGATAATATTTTTCCAATTCTTAGTAAAAATTATATGCTATCTGTGGTTTCAAACTGACAGCTTATATTAATGTATTAGCAAATCAAATTAATTATATAGCATCCTAATTATATTCCTAAATAGTTATAAGAATATACCTATATTATATATACATATGTATATTCTTCTACCTGGCAATTTCCCAGCTATAGCCAGGGTCTGCCCTATAGCCAGGTTCTGCCATATAGCCAGGGTCTGCCCTATAGCCAGGGTCTGCCATATATAAATATGTATATTGTTCACATATATATATTTTATATACATATACATACATTTTTGATATCTAATCACAACTTTTTTAACCGACTGGCATAACAAAATTAATGAATATACAAATAATTTCAATTAGATCACAATGTTATATCAAAATGTTTTCTATAAATACATAATGATCTCAACATTTCAATGTATATTTTTGGTAATTCATTGTATAGCAACATATTATGTATTTAGTTAGCGTGTGGTTATATTAACTTTGTATTATGAATGAGAAGCACGTGGCGTGTTAGCACGGATTACTCACATATTATAACTTACTATAGACTTTAATTTACTTTACTTTACTATAATTATTCCTTTTGGAGTAACCAAGTTCTGAATATAGGATAAAGGATTGTTCCACTCTTTATTTTAACAATATTACTCACATATTATATCTTACTATAGACTTTAATTTACTTTACTTTAATTATTCGTTTTGAAGTAACCAAGTTCCTCATACATCCTTGAAATATTGTTCCACTTTTTATGTATGTAATATCTTGATATTATTACAGTATAAAAACAACAAATAATATAGTCTTCTATTTAAGTTATAACTATTTAATTATCAGAAAAAAAAAACAATATTCGTGATCACAAGTCATTAGCATGTCGTCTAAGAAATGTTTATTACGAAATCGATGTTATATTTTTAGTTTTTTTTTTATGAATATGTTATCTTATATCTATATACACGTTAATGTCACATATTAAGATTCACGAAATAATGTTCAGCCGTTTTAATATTGTGGGATTTTCCTCGTATTCAAACACGTCATTTTTAATCGTTATCTATGTAACAGATACCAATCAAGCCACGGTATTTTTATAACTATTTTATCGCTATCATATTTAAAATATATATATATAAATTTTATAATTAAATACCATTTTGAACCTTAATTACAAGTAAATAAGGTAGAACTATAAAAATCAATTTGGTGATATAAAATTTATTAAGCTATACCTAGATTTCGATATAACAAAGCTTATATCGAATGTATTATAAAAAGTACCTAAATTTACACCTGTAGTATAGCGTCAATAGTGAATAGTATTTGTATTGTTGGACGCGTTATAGAACTATAAAAATCAATTTGGTAATATAAAATTTATTAAGCTATAGTTTACGAGATATGTAACAAAGCTTATATCGAATTTATTATAAAAAGTACGTAAATTTAGAGCTGTAGTATATCGTATAGTGAATAGTATTTGTGTTGTTGGACGTTGTAACATCGATATGTTGGGATGGTTGAACGGAGTGCGGACGGCAAGTTCAAGGTGAGCACGTCTACACCCACACGAGCCGCTCCCTGCCTGACCGTTACCACCGACCGGCGACCACTCTCAAACACAAACACTCATCTGTTACCACTCAAATACATACCAAGAACAATCACATTCTTAATTAAAACGACTAGGAATAAGTCTCATGATGAAATCCACGGCATTTAATACGTTTCAAAGTAAAAATATATCATATTAGAATATTTTAATATAACTCTGCTGATGTATACAGAATATGTTAATATATTTTTACATTTTTCCTTAAACTTAATGATATTATTAATTCAAATTTTTTTTATTTGACATGCCTCATTTATAAGGCCATAAAATATATTGGATAGAACCATGATATAGAATTATATCTATAAATTCATCGTCTTACCTTTGTAATACTTATTGATCCCATATATATGTTTTTAGATAAATTTGGAAATACGACAGTTTGAATTTTTGTTTCGTGTATGAGAATTAATGGAGGCTATTATTAAAATATTATTTTAGTCAGCTGATTCTTCTCTGAATATCAATATCCGAATTGATTTACAAATAGTTGTATGTAAAAATGAGTTTGCATTATTTATAGATTTCCTTACATATTAGTTGATGCGGTTATTAAGTAATTGAGCGTTCCATTTACCTTGGTATTGTGATGACTTGTCCGTGTTCGTCAGCCAGCACCAGCACGGTTCCTTGTCCCGGCGCGCCCACCACCACAGACACGCCACCGTCCACCAACTGTCCCGCTCCACTCACCAACTGACCGTCCTCCAGCTGGCCGCTTATCATCTCGACCCTCTTCTGGTCCGGGGTCGTCGTGTATATCACCGTCTCCTTATCATCCTCGTAGATCAGATCGATGGGTGTCTTCTCATCTATAGACTCCATGCCCTGGTCGTATACATCGGGCTGCACGGCCACCTTGTTGTCGGGCGCGTAAGCTGCCAGCTCGTGAGGCGAGTGGCGGTAGGAGTGCGCCTCAGGGTATCCATCGTCGGAGTCCATCTCCACCTTGTGCGGGTAGTAGTCGTGCGCGGGCTGGACGGGCGTCATGGTGGCGAGCACGGCGTGCGCGGGCGCGGGCGAGCGGGGCGCGGAGGGGGGTGTCGCGACCCCCCGCGGGGTGCGCGCGCGCTCCTCGCAAGCGGTCACCGGTTGGGGCGACGCGGACATCTCACCCCGTTGCTCTGATGCCCCGTTTTCAGGCGGGCGGAGGCGCCACTCGAGAGCGCCCCGCAAGACACTTAAATGCCCCAACTCTGAATGCTGAAATATACATCGCTTATGATCTTCCTGGTTTTGTTCGTTCGCATAGTTTCCTTCGTATTCCAGCATCTGGCGTGCTCATTTCAGATTAGATTTTTGTTAAGAGACGATTTTTGAAAGTTTTGTTATAGACAACACATGTGATTGATGAAAACTATCTTAATCGCGCATTCGACAAGTAAACATCCACGGACGATGGAAATATTGAAGTGTTATTGATGAATAATAACTCCTATACATCATGTTTACATTTTCTAAACACGTTTTATTTGCTTATCACAGCAGATAACAAAGCATGGAACAGCTGATCCGAGTCCAGTTAGAACAGAACAAGTATCAAGTGGCACCTGATTGGCGAGAAGTGGCCGAACTTGTTCAAGAACTGCACTGGCTTGAGCGTGAGCGCACAGATACCCCAACCAACGGTACAAACTGGATACACTTTGTAAGGCACACGTGCTTGTCCAACTTGTCCAATATTTGTTTACTTTGAAATATCAATTAATAGACTGCTCATGTGTGGCCTGTTTGATAACATGAACATACGAAACATTTAGAAACAAATGCAGGAACCTAAGAAAAGATTTGAAACATCTAGTGATTGGACCAATTAAGATATTTTGAGACACAAAAACCGGCTTGTATAAAATTTCCTGCTGGACGAAAAATCTGTTACATTAATGAGACAGCAAGATAATTACAATTTTACAGACTCTTCATACACTTACCAAAAATTGAGTTATTTTTTTACAATTATCAATAAACCGAAGCCATTATAGCAGTAAAAGTAATTCCGAGAACCAAAATTGTTGTGAGAACAATATCCAGCTTTGAATAAAATTACAACTTTTGTTATGGGATATTAAACATTGAGATAAAATTTTTATATTCGGCCAGAGAACAGTGAAAATATATAAAGAACCATATATGTATGTGGAAGCATTTAATGTTAGAAGTCATTAAAGCTTTAAGAGTGAGAAGGCTTGCGAAAGTTTTTATCCTCCTAAGGGAAGAAAAATAAAATGACAGAAATGAAAAGACCGTGCAGCGAAGCTGGGATGTCGGAGTGTACACTCGCACACATTGACATGGAAAGCTCGCCGAACATCGACACAACAAGAAATAAACGCACGTAATTTACTCACACAGGGACGATTCGACTCGTGTGTTATCTGTGGGTATTCACACACAATAAAGGTTCTGTTAATTCACTATCATACTACATAAACTTGGAAATGAATCGCTGACGGAGAACAAAGGATAACCGACATCGCTGAAAAACATAACTCAGATCGGATTTAACAAAACGAATCAATCACGTTATATGTGTTATCTGTAACATCACTTCCAAATTGCACAATATAAAACGAGCACGTCATAGCACTGGTGTTAAGGTCGGGGGCGGCTGCGACACGGCGCGAGCGTCCTGGCGCAGGCCGTCACGCACGCGCGTCAAACTAGTCTCGTGACGTCACACGATATTACAAAACCGGCCAGGCAGCTCGGGCGAGCACGCCAGCGAGCGGCGCGGCGCAGTGACGAACGCGCTGTCGGCCGACCCCGACGCGCCACTGGGGTGTCACGTACCGTGGGCGGCGTCACGACGCTGGGACGCGGACGGGCGCGGGCGCGGGGACACGAGCACGCGGCGAGCGGCGCTACGGAGCGCGGGCGCAGGTGCTCTGAGCGCAACAGCCTCCGCGCGCCGGCGCCGCGCCCGCCGCGCTCCCCGCACCGCCCGCGCCTCGCTCTCGCACCAAAACGACGAATTTATCTTCCGTGCACGCTGGCCCTCCTACCCGAGGACGTTGCCCAGGGTGCCGGAGCGTCCTCGGCCGAAAACTTTACATATCGTCTCTGATGAATCGATTCGATTTAGATTACCTACAGATATTGGACGTTTTTAATGTAATGGAACCTTTTTGTTGTAACATTTTTATAAAGAGTATAAAATTCATCCGAGTATGTGTTGTGGTCGGAGCCTTGTATAGTCACTGACCATATAAGTATGTCTTAAATATTGCCCGCGGCACCTCCCCGGGCTACAAATGCTGCCGCAACTTGCAGTTAACTCCTTTGCGACATAATACTTATAATGACCATTTCAAAATGTCAATTTAGCGCCTTATACTACTTTAGTTATTAACGAATTAAATTTTAAACAAAGCCGTTTAGTTGAGTGCGTATTCTTTTCTTCAGCAACATAGTGATACCATGTTGAAGTGAATGTGAATGCAAAATAACTACTATGAGTTTTATACTTTTTACATACATATGTAGCAGAATGTTATTTTATCTTTGTCCTTAACTATTTTACTGTTTCATTAATATGATTGAACAGTGTTTCTCTATTTAACAAAAACTATATTGAAGAATAATAAATTTGTGGACCCAGATACATACAGCCAAAAGATGTAAACAGATAAATTGAAACCAATAGTCTAAAATAAGGAAAAAAGCAATAAATATAATTCTCAACGAAAAGTGTAATATGAAGAAGGTGTCATGGGAGAATGTTTGTAATTACATTCATATTATGTAAGAATTACTCATTATGAGATTTCTTCCTCATCGAGCTATAACTCTTTAATGTTTAATTAAACCGGGCAAGTACATGAAATTCTGGAATCTGGGACGAAATCCACTTAAAAATACATGAACATTTTTAAAAAGGAGCCGTTTTTAATGAACAACAACAAGAAATAAAATCAATTAAGACAAATGAAATTTCTTAAACACTGTTGGCTACAATGGATACAAAAACACAAGTAAATATTATTGTATGTTAGTCTGGTAAAAGAGATTTTATAATATCTAATTTTATTAAATACTCATACAAAGGAATTTTGAGGAAAGGAAAAATAATTCAAAGGTTTAGATTGTGGCAAAAAGATTTAAAACACACATTACTAGAATAGATTAATTATTAGAATAATTAATATTCAATAAAAATCTTTTACCAACATAATAAATTCCGTCAGGCAGAAAAACGTATGATCAATGTTTTCAAATATGTTGTTGTACCTTTGCCCAGCCATCTAGAAGGATATAATGACAAAGCCATCTATACTCTTCAAGTGTAAAAACAATAATATAATAATCATTTGTAGATTAATCAAATTATATAAAGACCACAGATAATCAAACATTTCTTCATAACAGGTATAGATAATAATGAAAAATAAATATCTAAATCATCGAAATCTAAACAGAACTCTAAAAAAACTTTTAATTGTACAAAACAATTATAAATACTGTACAAGTATGAACTATTATCAATAATAAAAAAAGAAACGTGCGTGACAAATTAACTTTACTAAAGGAATGAACAAATTGAAATATACACACGGTGTTTGTTATAGTAAAGATTCATGAATCAAGTTACATAGTCTTTTAACGAGGTACTTTATTTTTTGTTTTTCTAAATTACATTTAAACTTATTTGTTATACATATTTTGGCAATTTGTATCTGAAAATAAATTAAATTCAAGTCATTTTTGATCTACCAAAGGCATATAATACTCGAAAAACGTAATACTGGCAGGCAATAACAAAACAAAATAAAAAAAATATTGTATCGTGAAAGGACCAGAAGAAAATGCGAAGTTTTTTTAATACACTTATTTTTTTTTACAAAACCGTTCTCAAAATAAAAAGAAAGCTTACTTTCGTTTTAATCTGATACCTACATATGTCCTTAGCAGAGTTGTGTCGTTGTACGTCCGCTTCAGTGCATGCATACAAGAAATTGTCTGATGAGCCTTTATTGCTTCATAGTGACTTGCTGTTTGATGATTAATTAAAAAATATTTGTTATTGATCTTTATTTATTACAATCGTATTGAACAAAATATCCTTAACCTTATGTAAAATATAATATTTTGTCATACTCTGACTAAGTAATAATTCTTATACTTTATTTAATGGACTTATAAATCCAAAACTTTTAATTTAAATTTTAATCGAAATTCATCGAGTGTGAAAAAGTAAAAAGATAATATTACTTTTAAATTGTTATGAATTTAATTAAATTAATATAAAATTAGTTAAATTAATATAAAATTAATCCTAAATAAATATAAAATGAATTATTTATGACACAAAAAAGGCCTCAAATAATTTATTTATTACATTCTTGTAGTATTATTTTTTCTTTTTTTGATAATATTGAAAAGTAGTTGTGCCTTAATTTAAATTTTGTATGTCCAAATAAAGAATATGTTATGAATGTTTTTATAAACACCAATTATTTCGTTTTTTGTAGGTCGATTTTCGTAACTCCATTACATGCAAATGAATACTTTCGAATTGATCCAATTAAAATTTTTAATAAAAGCAGTCATTAGTTAACTCAAACACAGATTCCATGTTAAGTGTAGACAAAAAAAATTATAATGCAACAACCTTAAGGTTCTATAAGTTCTTAAGAAATTTACTGCCATCTTGTTTATCAAGAACACGAGTTGAAAATACTACATGAACTATAAAATAAAACAATACCCTTCTTGAACATAAAAGATGATAATTTCTGAAGAACATGGCTCCTAACGAATTAATAAAATAAATATCAGAGTTAGACCGTAACTTGTGTAAAACCACAAACTATTAACTTATTGACAATAATACATAAATACAAAATTACTGTTGACGCTTTTACATTAATTAGCTTTTCAGCGTTGGCACCTTCATTGGACTTAAATGTTTGTGTTATATGTAGAAGAATAGAGTTTTCTTTTATGAACAAAATACAGTATGGAACGATTACACTTATTGATTTATGTCTAGAAAATTGAAGCATAAACATTCATGTTAGACAAAATTACGGCGTGAGTTTGAGCTTATGACGTGTTTGTTTTGATAGAATCTTTAAAATACCATCACTTGTATTCTCCATGACACTGCAGTTAAAATATTGAGTTATAATAACGTGAGAATTAGCTAATACTCTCTTATCCTCTATGTAAGGCAAGTTCCCAAAAATACATTTAATATTATTGCATTTCCAAAATAAATATTTTTAACAAAAATTAGCCATTGCCTATTATATTAAACCCATGTAAACTTTTTTTGTGTTGAACAGCCCTCTACATATGTATGTATGTATATTCTCTATTAAATAATTATTTTAAGTATCACTTACTGTTCAGTATCACGTACAGTTGGATATTTTTTGTATATACATATTAGTTATTATGAACATAATAATTATTTTAATACATATTATTAAGTTGAAAAAAAATACAATACAATAAAAAATTTTAATTTGGCCTCAAATCGACATACTTGCCCCTAACGGTTTTTAATTCCTAAAACTTAACTTTTTAATTTATCAATAGGTTTTATGAGAGAAGGCACTAGGGCTATAAAATCAAACGTTAAGCCATACTCTATTCTTATAGTGGCTTCGGATTGGACTATAATCAAAAAAATAAAATCACAGAGGATATTTGTGTGTCGGCCTCTAGATCAGACTTATTTATGTATTTGAGCATTTTAAAGTGCGTTGTGATGATAGGGTTTACGGTTCTAAACTAAACCAACGTCCCAAAAGAATATGCCATCAAAGTCAATAAGTATTACAAGCTTACTAACGAACTTACTGGGAATAGGTTCGTTGTAGATTTAGTTTAATAGTAGTTTAGTAGTCGTGTAGTCTAGTCGTTGTTCGTAGGACTGGGAGCGAGAGATAAAGCAACTAAATCTCTCTACAACCTACTAAGAGACTTGAGCTTGTCCAGAACGAACATCAATTCGTTCTTGGAACGTACTTCGAAGGCAGTCCTAGTAGGCTTATTTCAAATTTGGTTAGGCGGTAGAATTGATCGTTTAGAGCGCGGCAGATAGGGGCCCCTTAGAAATACACCCAGGTCCCATGTTCCAGGCACTGTTGAAGCTCCTCTCCCTAAAACGAGATTTACCTGGCACCCGCACAGTGAATCCATTTAATGCTACGAAGTTTTGTCTCTTATTTTTACTCATTGATAAATATGTCTCATTAATAGATATATTTATGTATATATCAAGTTATTTAAATGTTGTTGTTGAAAATGGTGTTAAATTCCAATTAATATAATGAGCGATAAGTTGGATAATAAGTAAAAAACAGAAAAACAATATATTTGAGTTTTAAGGGAAATAATTTTTTAAATTTACAGGCTTATTATAATAATCATGAAATCTTAAATGAAAAACAATATAAAGACAGAAATTTATAAGGAATTATTTTATTATTTATTAACATATTTTTTGTTAATTTAGTGTACTTAAAAAAATGTGCTCATTATCTTGCTTAAAAACCTTAATACCACTTTAAACACTTACCTTCCAATGAAACCAGAGCTACTGGATGAAACTATCTTATGGCTACTATCAAACTGAGGTACTGAAACATGTTTACTTCTATTAAACGGAGTCACGATAATTTTGTTGGTGTTTTGTTTCCATCAAAGAAGGACGCTACAAAGAATCGTCTGTCTTCCAAAAATGTCTTCTATTTAACAGACAGGGTCGTCACTATAAAAGTATAACTTTTTAAGACTTTTCATAGAATTACCTAACACTGAACACAATTTATAAGCATTTAAATAGTTATCCTATCTTGTTTGGTTTTTAGCAATATTCTGTTTTTGTTTTATAATAGACGTAGTTCAAAAAGAAGTTTACGAGAACATATATTATTTAACATTGACGATTAAATACATGCAATCTTCATGTTTTTCCTTTGCAATTTTGTAATACAACTGGCATCTAAAACAGTTGGCCATATACAGGGTGACTGGTGAATTACTATCAATATTTAAGGAGAATACTCGGTACATGATTCTCATTCGAATTATGTAAAAAAAATAGGCACTTAATTT